AGCAAGTATTAAATATATTATTCTTTTTATGGGTTAGAACATATAGAAAGGACATAGTGTATATGGTGCATAATAGAGACATATACAAACTTTCAAATATCACTGTGACCAATGACTGTTAATTGATTAAAGCGCTGGTTAAGGTTTTTAGTTCATCGGTATTCTGTGCAGTGAAGGAATTAATTATTTCTCTAGTAACCCAAGAATATACAGCACAACTACATTTTTATGAGTTATATCTTAGGAGAAATAAACTAAGGATTCAATAGTACATAGAACACATCTATAGTCATTAAAGATTCAACCTGTACAGTATCTTAAGCAGTTTAATCTTTGATTCATTCAGAATAAGTAAAGTTATAGTGAACCTACAGGAATATTAAACCCCAGGTAGTTGTAAGAGTCGCTATCTTGGTTTTGTCAAAATTATTCTCAGGGGTATAGGAGGATCCAGAGCACTTGAAAAAAAGCCACCAGGGAAAGCAAAAAGAACTTAGTTAAGCAGATTGTTACAGAGTCACAGATCTACATACCTGGAAATGAGTTTACAGAAAGTGCTATCATGGATTTTGTCTTCAATAATTTGGGCAATCTGTTTACCTTCTCCATGTTTCAAATCTTTTTTCTTTAAAAGTTAAATGATAAAAACAAAATGATGCCAATATCTGCCATGGCAATTTTCAAGATTCAGGGTAATAAATACAAGGTGTCTAGCGTAAGAGTTGAGAAAAGAAATAGTATAATTTCACTACATTTTTTCTGTTTCCTTTAGACTTCATATTCTTTACACAAATTCTCTTCCTCAGAGAACCCATTAATTTATTTTTATCTATCTATCTATCTATCTATCTATCTATCTATCTACCTACCTTATCTATCTATCTGAGTTGGGGGTCTCACTCTGCTGCCCAGGCTAGAGTACAGTGACACTACCATGGCTCACAGCAGCCTCTAGCTCCTGGTTTCAAGTGATCCTCTCACCTCAGCCTACCAAAGTGCTGGGATTACAGACACAAGCCACCATGCCTGGCCTGTCACTTTATTATTATTTTTTCTTAATAAGTTTAGCTAATGAATATCTTATCTTCTCTGTAATTTTTTGTGAAACTGTGTTTGTGAACTCTGTCTCATACTTACCATTACTTGGTCAATATCTCAAAGGTAAAGTTAACATGAAGTGATATACACGTATCCATTATAAAATCAAGGAGTTCCATAGGACATTCTTTTGCCTTTACTCCTTATGATTCAGAATTTCATCATTTCTCACTAGCTGACCACATATTTCCCTTTGATATTAGGCTGTCACCTTTTAAACCAAAATCACAAAATATAACTTATCTTTCTTGCCAAAGAAACCACTACCTATTATTTCTTTGTAAAAATATTGATTGCAAATTAACTTCATAGTAAGTCTTAAAGCTCAAAAAATAAGAATTAACATGAACTATTTTTCTGATAAGTTACAGTTTACATCTCGAAAACCAACCGTTTTTGGTTTCAATTTTTGTCATTCGGAATAAAAAAATTTCAAAATCAAAATTTCACATGCATGTAATTGCTTTAAATAGAGTAAACTGAGGCTTGCTCAGCATTTTATGGCATCGGCGATTTTATCATGAACCTCTTTAACTACATATTGCAGCAATTACAGCAATAAGAATGAGAAACTAAAGAAATGTGGATAGTGCCTTTCCTTTTCATGAATGCTTCTCCAACAACTTTGAGGAATAATTTTAATTGGTTGATACTTGCATATGTATTTATTATGTATAATTTAATAAATTATGTATTAGATTATATACTAACATATAGTATTTATTATAAGAAAAGAATATTAAGACTATTAATTGAGAATGGGATATTAATTCCATGTAAACTCACAGCAAGCATCTATTGGGTATTTCTATTAGTAAAATATGAAAGCCTTTTAAAATATTTTGTGACTGCAAAGAGGTTTTGAGTTTGTGTGTGTGAATGCTTGTGTTTTTTGTTTGTTATTGTTCTTGATGAGGTAAAAAAAAGTTCTAGATCTAGAAAACATCATTAAACTGTCATCCCTTCAAAGACATTAACTTGAGGTCATCGTTCAGGTGTCATCTTTCCTCACTGCTCATCTCCAATCTTAGTAATATACACAACTATCCCGCCTCCCTGTGTGTGTTACATCTACTCTGTCCTTCCATTTCCCAGCCTACTGATGGGCTCACTCTTCTATTGCGACATTACTCACAGAGCTTTCGTGATAGTCTCTCTTGTTTCTGTTGTATCACTGATGATAGATTTGATTTCCTAAAACTTTACGCAACTTTTTTACTCAACTTGCTTCATAAACTTCAAATCATCAGATGACTACAATTTGCCATTTTATAGCTTCAATATTCAGAAGATATATTTTTGATTTTGCTTTACAATATGTAAAATAAGAGTGCCTGTTTCCTAGCAAAAATTCAACACATTTTTAGTTCTCCCCAACCCTGTTTCACGTGGGTAAAACCAGATATTCCTTAAACACCACACCCCTTTTCGAACATTTTCTTACTTTTAAGTAATTTTTGTAATCTTCTGCACTTCATGAAGCCAAATTCAAGGGCAACCTCTTACACGACCTTTCACCCTAATTTATTCTTTCTTCCCTACCCCTTCACAGAATTAACAGTTATTGTTTGCATGCCATTAGGCATTTAATCAACAACCAACTTATAGTACTATTTAGTCTTTGGTATGTTTTCAAAACTGCTTATCCTATTTCAAGTCAAAGGATAGCTACTATGGTGCTCTATTGTATACAGCAAAGTAAGTAGTAATCATCCAACAAATAATTGTTGAAATTAACTAAATAAATAATGCTAGATTTTATATTATATTTGCTATGATTCTATATGTAACTATAGGATTTTGAATTCATATCTTGAAAAATTATCTCCTAGACATATTACACACCCTACAAATACATTGCTATCAACTGTCCCAAACATCTGGAATAGCTTACTTAAAACAATTTAATTCTTATAGTCATGGATCAATTACCATTGATCTTAAAAAATCATTTATTCCTAAAATAAGATCTCTTTAGAATTAAAAGGTCTGGTTAAATGAATTTCATTGCATTGAAATTTTTGAAGATTCTATGTACAAATAAGAACTTCTGTTGTTTTAGTCATCTGTTGTTTCTGCTAATGCTGTCACTACAAACATATGAGGATTTTTTAAAAATTTCTACATAATGTCATGAATTCCATGAGAAGTTTAATACAGTTTCTGAAATATCTTATTTTCCTTAAAATAAATCTTTATCACATGTTCATAGCTATCTAAATCATTGTGATATGACATGTGAATGATGTACAGATTTAGTATAATGCTAATCAATATAAAAATGTTATGGTTGCTGTGTTCTCAGCATTGGGCTTTGCTATTCAAACTGTACTTTAATGTCACAATTTATGACAATTCAAATAGGTTGATATGGGATAATTACTGTGTGTCTGGCACTGTCTTGTGAACATAATCAAAATAATACAGGAAACTAGCAGCTTAATAAAGAGACAACCAGTTACACTCCAATATAATTTCTAAATTCTAAAACAGAAGACATAACAAAGAGCACAAAGGTGTGAGAAATTTTACTAACATATGAAATGGGGGTAAACTATCCAAAGATGATTGTAGGGAGATTTAATATTTAAGCTTTATCTCTATGAATGAGTAGGATTTTTAGCAATTAAGGAAAGAACAAATGGTATTCATTGGAAGAAGAGTCAAGTGTACAGTAAAATCTTTTCAAAACAAAAAAGATCATGGTGCTTTGAGATGCAAAAAGAAATTCAATGCATTAAATTGTGTGGAATTAAAGGGGAAGCATAAAGGAAAATAAGATAGATTATAGTGATTGGGAACAAGGTGTGAAGATGATTTGTTGGCCAGGATAAAATATTTGGTTTCTGAAGGCAACTTGGAGCTGTGAGAGATGTATAAGAAATGGCATAGGTAAGGATGTACATTAAACTGTTACTTTATAAGCAAAACTGACTGAGGAAAGTAAAAAAAAATAAGAGAGTTACGGAGCTAGGCTAACACATTATTAGTCACGGAGAGAAAGAATGAGTCTGAAAAAAGATGGTGGTAGTGGAAACTAAGAATAAGAGACAAGTAAAATATTTTGGAGGTTGAATATACATATTTTAACATTTTTGGGGAGGAAGCTGAGAGGGGCTTTAAGGCAACTTACAGCTTATTAGGTTTGTGAAATAAGATAATGAGAAGAGACACTAAATATGGCACTTTTCAGTGAACTTTTCAGAGTACTAGATGAAGGTGAATTTATAGAAAAATGAAAGGTATAGTCAATTGTTTTTTGAGAGATCGAAAAATATCTCAAGAAAAAAAAGATGAGGTCAAAATCTGATATTTACTCGTTTAGCAATTACTTCATAATGTTAACTGACTAAAGCCATCTTGATACTACATAAAATGGATAGCACATATTTCACGCCTATGGGATGTTTTTATGTCATTGACAAATTCAAGTCTCATCAAGTACTTAGAAGCAAACAAATTAAGTACGTTTTATAATCAATGCATGGTAGAATATAATGCATACAAAATAAATCAAATCATATTTTATGGGTAATTTTTAAATGAGAGAGAAGAAATGAGCTACATTTTTCAAACTACAGCCTCTCCAGGATTTCTATGACCATGAGTTTCTATTGCTCATAATTATGATTTATTTTCTTGTGAACTGTAAGAAGCAAGACAGCTCCTTTTACCTCCTGACAACAGCAGAAGCAAATATTCCCAATCATCCAAACCCTTCTGTTTCTGCACTCATTAGCACATGCAATTAGTAGAAACCAGGTATTGACCGATTTGATTGACATGTGTTTATTTTCTCTTCCACACACTGTGGAATCACAGCATGAGAGTCATGAAAGAGAAGCAGTCATTTGCAAGCATGATAGCATGATAGCTTGGCTATTTCTTATCATCATACTTACAACTGGACCTGGTGGGCCCTGGGGACCTTCTCCTCCTTTTAGTCCTGGTGCACCCTGGGAAAAGTTTAAAAAAAAAAAAAGAAAGGAAGGAAAGAAAATGAATCAATGCGAATTGAGTATAAATAGGAAGAAATGTTTAATTGATAAAATGAGGATGTCAGGAAAAGTTTTTAGACATAAATACATACATAAATGATAATAAAATGCATATGTTGACAGATATCCCATTAATTACTCATGATTCTTTAATTTAGCTATGAGAAAAATGCTACCTATAAGCAAATGTATTCATATATTTTATCTACATATATGTTAATGATACCTGAGCTCCAGGAAGACCTCTTTCACCTGGGAAACCTCGTAGTCCTGCTGGTCCATCTTTCCCTGAGATACCCTGAGGACCTGGGTCACCCTAAAGAATATAACATACAGCCATCATTAGAGAGTCATTGTTACACGTATTTCTACAAAATTATGATTACCTCTCACCTACTGAAAGTAAAACTTAAATGTCACTGAATGATGTAAATATTGTATGGAATGCCATATACATTAAAATGAACTAACCACTCCCTTCACATAAGGGCATATATAAATTAATGATTTTATGGTCAATGGAGTGAATTGATCTCATGTAATTGTCCAGTAATGTCTTCAATTACAATAAACATACACTAAATATTTTTCTGACATATGTTCTGACTTTCATTTAAATACTATGTCAAAAATGCAAAGTATCTGTGGACAAGTGGTGAGAAGTACAGTGAACGGTAAAGGGAAATTTTGAGCCCTTTAAAGGGAATACTTTCTGGCACATACTGTACCTTTGCACCTTCTTTTCCAGCAGCACCAGGAAGACCTTGCTCACCAGGAGGGCCGGGAGGGCCAGGATGCCCACGTTCACCTATCGGGCCAGTCTCACCAGTGGGTCCCTAAATTATATAAACGAAATCAATGTTAGATTGCTCTTTTATTTTTGACAATAATAACACAAGTTCAAAATAAATATTTTTCTCTTTTTACAGAAGTTCATTATTCTCATGATGTTGTACACAGCATGTCACATAAAGCCCTGAAAGTGGCATGTCTGGGAGGAGTCGAAACTATTACATGTAATCTTGGTTAGAACGAGAGCATAGAAGGGAAATACACAGATAAAGTTCAAAGATATGTGTTCTTGGCTTAAAACCAGAATTACTGCACAGTGAGGCCAGTCTGACTATTGTTACAACTATGGTTTTTAACTACAGTTTCATCCCATTTCTCCTTTTTGTATAAGGTGTCAAACCAGCTTAGAAAGAAGAGGCATAGGCACCACACTGGTAGCTACTCAATGAATCACTGCTTGAAAATAAGCCTAAGTCCCAGAGAACCCAAACAACCAAAGTGGTTCTCCCTGGAATTTCCATGGACGGAAAACCAACCTGCTGTTCATCTATATTCATTGGACAAAGCCTAGGGACTTTGGCAGGGGTCCTGAAGGCATGAGTTTGGGTCGGCAGTTCCTCCTGGCCAAAGGCTATAACAAATAGCCAGCTGCCTTAAATTGCAGCAAATGCCAAAGTGAAAAATATCAGGTCATTTACGTGTTCCCTGAGTGGTACTGTTTTGTGGTGTTAGAATATAATAAGCTCTCAGGTATAAAGAGAGAATGGTGATCAGTTGCTCTCTCTAAACTTACGATAAAGCAAAATGAAAGACTTCAGTTAAAGATACATAAAGGGAAAATTTCCAGATGCTAAAGTTGTTTAACACTGAAATGTGTTACTGAAGTTGCTTATGGAACATCATTCCCTGCTATTTTTCTAAAAATGTGACATATCCCTACCTTTTGGTCTTAGATAATGAACACAGCTGCCCCATTTCTGAATGTACATTTCTTTTTTTTTTTTTTTTTTTTGAGTTGG